ACGGCTGTAGAGCACCGCACCACTAGCTATGTACAGATTATGGCGCAGCGTGATATCCCATTATTTTCTGTCGACAAAACCAGAATATATTGACCCACTTAAACATTTTCTGCTTGAATTACCAAAACAAGTTAAAACTCCATGGATTCAAAGTAAGCACTGGTTGTGTTTTGCCAAAGTTTAGAAACATAAGTACTTCCTCTAAGTTGAAAATGTTGATTACCTCACAACGAAAGGGTTCGGAACCGCCGTGCGCATGTTAGCACGGGTTTGCCTCCAAGTACACGAGGGTTGAAATATACATTAGCGGAATATATCGAGCTACTCATTGGTAATGAGTAGGCGGTGTGCCGTGTTGGCAAAAACACCGAGAAACATGGGTCTCCCGTGCCCCCAGTTTATTGTGGCGGGCACATCGTTCAGAGCTGTGAATATCAGATGCCAAATTAATGAGGCGACGACTGAGTGAGGTGCGCAGGTGGGCCGCCGGGGCAGCTTGAGAAAAATTGCACCCACGCTCTTCCAGTCCCCAACGCTTTGTTATCCGGTTATCGAGTTGAAACGAGTACGACATTGGCGTTGATCACGCTATCCCCACTGCCTTACTCTTTAATTATGTTAATGATAAAAACAGTACAGGCTTTATTGCGTCTCCATGAAGAAGAACGCCACGTGGGAAACGAGGCGACTGGAATAATTGCTCATGATGAGGAAAGTTGCATTTCCAGTTTGGAGAGTGTGCTGTAAACTTCGCCAGGCATGCGATGGGGAATTCGACCGATGAATGTTATGAGAGCATGTGCCCTGGCGCGAGCCTCCACCAGCCCTGCCGACTGACCGCCGATCGCAGTTGGGCCGATAGACAAGGCGCGGTCACTGAAAACAAAAAAATCCAGTGCGTAGGCCAGCGATTGGCATGTGCCACTTGGACAGCCAACAGTGGAGAATGCCCTTCCCCAAATATATACTATTAGGTCTGACAGAAGTCAGTGGTTAAAAATTAGTGAATGGCTTAACATGGACAGGCTCTTAGTTTTGGTGGGTAAGGGTAAGTGGAGATACAGTCCTGCGAATTCTGGCTTGGTTTCTTTGTACGCCCAATTAGACTAGCTTGACGAAACACGAGTGGCTTGGCACCTCATCGGGGCACAAGAAAAAAGAGCGCAAAATGTTGACTTGACTCACCCTGTCGCCTTGGCGACGGAAGCCTTGGCAGCGAGGCACCGCATCAGGAGAACAAGGGCACTGGGGATGGGCCTGCGGACGAGGTCGGAGAGGGCCGCGAAGCCGGCCACTTTGGCGTCGATCTCGTCGCTCGCGGGAGTCGCCGGCAGGAGACCGAGGCGGTCCATGTGATCGAGCGCCGCTTGAAACTGACCGGCGTTGGCCAGATCGAAAAAGGTGGCCAAGTCGAGCAGATAGTAGAGGGTTTGGACGGCCGACTGCAGGGCGCATGAGACGTCACCACCGACGTCACCGGGGCTGGTCCCTGCGGCGGCCGTGGTGGCGATTGGGTCCAGGCGACGAACACTGTGGCCTACCTGAAAGACAACAATCGTAGCACTTCTTACAAGGAGGCTTAAGTGAGCATTTCGAAGCAGTCATTAGAAAGAGATAAGATAAGAATACATAAGAGCCGGAAGCGGATCAAATATTGTGTAACTAACAGGGACTAAATAACTACTCACTTAAATTGAACATTTTTTTGCTAATATAAAAAAAAACAAATCACAGAAAGCATTTTTTTAACGTGCCTCTGCAGCCAATTGTAGAAGCGTTTGCCTGGTGAATTTACCCTCAGCGCCAGGCTCATTCCTCTCTCCGGCCACAACCCCAACGAGAAGGAGATTGGTTAGGCGGACGGCTGACAAGAGAGTTTTGGATGTTCCAGCAAGGAGGTATACACTGGCAGACTTAGCCATCTGTCCCCTCGTCTCTAACATTTCTGCCACAGAGGCAATGAGTTCAGGTGGTTGGGAGACGCTGGCGAAACGGTCGATGGCGCCGGGCTGACGCACCCCGCCGGGACCCGGCACACCCAAGATCAGATCGAATTCGCCTGTTTGGATGGCTAGCTCGGCGACGCACCGCACGAAGAGGTTCGTTGGAGCGCCCCGCTCCTCTGAGGAGAGCTCGTGGAGGAAGTAGTAGTAATTCACACAGAGAGCGGGGTTGTCTATCTCGAATTTGCGCGTATAGAGAAGCAATAGACGGACGAAATTGAGGCGACGAAAGCCCGAGGGATCAGAGTCAATACGAGAAACTGCAGGGTAGAGGAATAAGGCAAGTTAGCAAAACACGGGCCGCCTATTTAACATCTTGGCCTGGAAGCAAGATAAGTGCTGCGTATCCATCTAATACAAAAATGTTTGATATGGCCATTACATTACAATGACTACATCGAAAACTGTTCCCATTTCGAGTGAGGACTTTGGTTGTTTTTAAGGATTTTGAAATATGTACTAATGGTAGAAAATAATTAAAGCACGGCTTTGAGTATGCTTCACGTACCCTCCTAAGGAGAAGTGATAGAAACGCTTATAACCTTTTAAATCTGCTTTTTTCGACTTACTTGATCCCATTAACAAGCAATGTAAATTTAAAACTAGTTATCCAAACAACGCAGGCAAGCCTATGCATCGCATTCGGTCACAATCATGCTGTTACACTGGTCCACTTAAGCTGTTCCCAATTTTGTTTGTGCACAGTGGACCATGCGTTATACCAACACTTCTATAAATAACACAAGATTTCGCATGCTTGACTTCAGTAACTGGTTAGGCCTAATCTTATCAGGCTTTTTAAAACGTTTACATGAAAGTAGCAAAAAGACTTTAAATTAACCCGAATTACCATTATCACTTAAAGCGATCAATTATACCACAATGGTGATTGGTGAAATGCCCGATTTCACATCAGATTAGGACCGCACACTTTGCCAGGTAGATAAAGACAAAAGGTGGCTGTTTTGAGGGCACCCGTGAGTTGGCCCAGCAAGTTGGCAAATGGTGCTAACATCGAACAGCCGATTCGACATTTAGTTGAGCAAGCATTTTAAATAAGTGCTAGTTCTTTACGCAAAACAGTAAAAAACTTTGAGAAGCATTCCAACTAAGGCGCGTATTAAGCTATTTAAGCTATTTCAGGTAAATCAAGACCCACATGCTAGTATAAATTGTAGAATGACAACAACAAAAGCAATGCAAGCAATCAAAATATCAAAGTAGCGCAACCAACTTATTTGGGCGTGCGTGGTGGCTGGAAGCAAGAGGATTTTCATTTCACGGAGTACGAGAGCCAGATGGACCGCATGACAACGCAGTTCTTCAATCCGAACAAGAAACGCTAGTGCTCCTTCGAATTGTTGGCTCAAACAGAGAATCTTGAAGTACATAAGTGGCTGGTTCCAGGCGTCAAAATAAGTTTCTCCTGTGAAAAGTACAAATATAAATCAATTAGTTTGAGCCTCAGTGGTTTTATAGAACAGATGGTACTACACTTACCATATGTATCATAGAGTAGATTTTGAAGCTGCGCAATCGTGAGGCTTTCACCATCATCTTGGTTGTCATTTGCATTTTCTTTAATGGTGACTTGCAAGAGTCGCAACCACAAGAAATCGTCAATGCTTTGAGCGACATTTGTGTGTGCATCGGAAAGATCACAGCGGCCAAGAAGGCAGTATACTAATCTAAAAGAAACCAACGGAATTGTTCCAACGGTCTCTGATTGGCAAAGAAAAGTAACAGAGGCAAAGCCTCACCTTTTATATGGGTCGCGAGATGTTTTAACTACGCGGCGGTACGTCTTGCGGATGCCGGTCACCAATTTTGCTGGCAGGCTCTTCCCGTTGGCTGCGAAGGAACTCAGAATTTGGACAAATTCCCCCAAGTTATTTCTAGAAAAATAATAGTAGCTGACTAGAAGTGGGACTAGGTGAGAATGCTGGGGTAAATCAAAGCTTACGCTGCATCTGATGCGACGCTAATTGCATCCCGTAGGGCACCACAACGAAGGCAGTAATATATCATGGGCCACACTGGCTTACCATCCACAAGACCATCCTATGGGGAAGACAGATAATTTGCAATTGCGAAGATAGAACAAATAAATTACTGACGTTTTCCTCACCTCGAAATCGCCGGATGATTCAAAATCTGGATCCCCAGATGACTGCATAGCCGGATTTTTAACATTTAAAAAAGCCCGGACTAACGATCTAACACCAGGCCGACCACCCAATTGAGCCAGGCGAGGATTAGCAGAAACAACAACCTGCAAGCATGCCATAAATTCGGCCTCCAAATGAGCGATGGCTCTGCTAAGGAAAGCTATCTGTAAAGAAGGGCCCGATCGCACTTCCAGAGCTCTGTCATGGGTTACAGGAAGGGGGAGATCAAGGAGGGGTGTTTCCGATGAGCCAACATCATCAACGTTTAAGGCCGAAATTGAGAACATACGTTTGATAAGACGAAAAACTTCACAAAAGTCAGTGTGTTTGGATTCATCAAAGAAAACGGATTTAGCATTTGAAGCGGTGTAGAGAAGATTGAAAAGTGATGGTTTGTTAAGGGTACCAGAGTTAATCGCAGCCTGATGTAAGAAGACGGTATTGGAAGTAGTCAGAGTTTCTGAAAGATAGCCATCGATCTGATTGGCATAAAACAGCTCCTGTTTTGATAAAGTTGACTGTGGGTCAGCTGAGAAATCGACGGACGCAACACGAGGAAAGCATTCACGACTCGTGGAGGTATCCGTGGATGGACAGGAGTGAAGAATAGCCGAGTCAATGGGGCCGGAAGAACTGGCAAGGGCGGTTAAGATAGCAGCAGCTTGGCGGTCCCACCAAGATGAAGTGGCCCGACGACAAACTGAATCAATTTCGTCAAAAACCTTGAATGAGGTCAATAAAAAATTAGCCCACCGAAAAAAGAGATTTGGAATAAAAACGGACGATCAGATTGAAATAAAACAAACGTTCTTCCACATCATTGGTATAAAATTGCGTCAATAATGGACAATTGCCCCTTACTCAATGCATACACTCAACACGGGGAATCAATCACTAACGGAAACGAAAAGATGCGATGAAAAAGATAGAAAATGACTAACGAGCCATAAGACCAGTTTTATCACGACTAAAAAAAAGTCACGATTTTTAGTAAAAAGTATACAGGTTTCCAAAATTAAAATTTAATACTGAAACTAGATGGAGAAACTTACCGACCGTTTCACCTGTTCGTTTGCGGTAAACAGAATATTTTCTCGTTCACATCTCAAAAATGTATGTATGTCCATGTCCACTTTAGGCTTTGAAAACTCAATATCCCCAGCCTGAGTTAAAAACTCCAATTTAGCGGACAAGTTATTTGGAAGGTCGTAGTCTACCGTGGGTCCCAGCAAACGGGCAGCTTTTATATCGCTTCTCACACCACGTGACGAACATAATTTTTCTCCAAAAGAACCCATTTGCTCGAGGCTCCGCGTAATCATAGGGAGGTCTGTATCACCTTGAATTTCCATAAGCAGTCTGTCGGACTGTTCAACAAGTTCTTCAAGAGTGTCCATTACGGTAAGGAAAAGACGATTATGTGAACACTTGGGTTGACTAACTAACAAAGGAGTGTTTTCAAAGATACAACTCCTATTGGTTTATTCACAAATTTGCATTCAAATTGCCTAAATAATAAATGAATATCAAAATACGTCCGATGGATCCACGAAACGCTTACACACAAACCACAGATCTTTAGGCTAAATAGGGGACATCACAAAATGTCTTTTCGTAAATATCGAAAATCACTGATAATGGGTGATTAAAAGGGAGTTAATGCTAATGCTTCTTGTTGGTTTTAAATTCGATTGCAAGGAGCGTTACAAACAAACTGCAAACGGTATGTTAGTGAACCTACATAGTACAGTTCCATGCACCATGAGCGAAATTCTGCCAGGAAAGTATGAGCTTTAATGTAGGTGGGGCATTATAAATAAATCACCTCGATGACGATATAGTTGCTTGTATTGATGGAATAAGAAAGCGGTAAAAACAATATTTTTATTGCACTTAAAATTTAGTGAAATATAATATTCTGAAAAATACACTGAACTTAAACATCACTCTTTACCATTCATCCTTCTACGCCTACGTTTGGACGACTACTTCACCAAACATTAACAATTACTGCGTTATTAAATGTGCATTCAATCAACAAATTTGCGATACAAGTGGAATCTAAAGCCTGACAAAAACAATGGCTTGACTGTAATAGTAAAGAGCGGATTGGAGTTATTGCTTGCTGCGCTGAATAATTAAAAGCTTTGTCAGTTATTCTCAGAATATTGGGTTTTAGCCAAACCAATCGCAATTTTTTCTTATGTTGCCTAGCAGACTACATTTCATGCCCTAAAAATTTACTGGATAGAAAGTTCACTTAGTAGTTTACGCAAGTAAAAAGCCACACACTCTATCACACCCAAGTTACAAAGTAAGTAAGTACAACTTGTAAATCTACTGGGATTATAAGCGCATCAATAAACCGAAGTCGACTTCATATTGTTAATTTAAAATATTGGCATGCATTCTCCCGAGTCATCGTTCGAAATAAAAAGAGAATCATATTCATGTTATGTAGAGACAGCTTCGAGACAAATTACGAGAACAAAATGTTGAAACAGATGCGTCAGAAAGACACCCTCCATGCCTCGATAGGATTCTCGAAACGCAACTCACACACCTACAAGTAATAAACACTCAGAACGTATTGAGTGCACAGGATCTGCGTCGATCATCAGAAATTATCTCAAACCAGGAAGCAGGTATTCATCTTGGGCGAAAATTAAAATTCCATTCAATAATATCCGGCATAGGCATCTACCCAAGTACAAGCTAGCAAAAATCAAACCAAGGGAGATAGAAAACAGTATCGATGGATGTCTACTAAAATTTATTGTTTGTCCTCTTAAAAGTGTGCAAAATGTATCAGCTGAGCAGTAGAAACAACAAACTTCTTGAGTCAAGGAAACCGCTGTACGACATTTATTGTCGGATCACCAAGGCAACGCGCCACCTGCATTTGCATACATATTTACACGTGGATGTAATTTTGGAAAGACGGTGGGATTAGAAACAGGAACAGGGAAGATTTTAGTGGGCGTGATGGTGGTTGTGATGGTGCGGATTAAATCTACGGTAGCATGATCCCTTAGCCTCCATATAACGCCGCACATAACTGGTCGCTCGTTCCCGGATGGCAGGAGTTACCTCAGGAAGCACTGCGGCAAAAAGACTTGAAGCGTTCGCCTGTTGGGCCCGATGAAGACTGCGTATCTCCTTGGGAATAACCTCTTGGGCCAGCTGTAATTTAAGATAGTAAAGACAGAATGTGGAGCACTCACTTCCTATCAAGAATCATTTCAGATATTTTTAAAATGAAAGAAGCATACAGTTGAACAGGACAACTACGAACACATAGGCGTTGTAAAAGTCTGGATGTACAATGGGATATTAAGCGAAATCTAATTTATAACCTACGTACAAGTCTTCTCGGTTTTCGCAATTTTGGAAACGGGACATTTAAGAATGAAAAAGGACCCAGGAACATCGGGAAACAGCAGGATCGTATTCAGCTTACATTAGTTTTGAACAACACCCATGAAGACGTTTTCAACTTTCCTCACACAAATAGCAGTGGTTCATTTGTTTTACATAGACTGATAGATTTTGTAGGCATAACGACACCGTGTGAATATGAAACACATTGCAACATATGAGGATATTAAGAGTGAACAGAACGCATAAATTATCTGATTCTTATGCACAACATATTTATAATAATAGTAATAATAGTAAAATAGTAAGTAGGACCTACAAATCTAAATAGGCCATTCCAAACAAAAAAATCACGTCTAAAAAAGTAGACTAGCACTTAATTTCCGAAACATGTTCATTTCGTTTGGGGAGAAATTGCAATCGTTCTTACCTCAAAGTCAGTACGCAATGACTACTTCCCATTGCAATAATTACGTCAGCTTCGCATACTAAAGTCGCTGTGCACCACCCGAAGGGACTTCATTGTTAGAATCCTACTGACAAAATGCTCTCTATGGACAAACGTGACATGTACTGTCATTAAAGGTCAACAAAGGGTGCAACCTAAAGGGGAATTCTGTTGGTTCACAACTGAAGTATTTGCGGCACACGAACTTCAAAACCTGTAAAATTGTATTCTTCCATGAGACGGCAAACAAAAAAATGTCTTGGTAGCGAAAACAGACGTCAGGAAAGCGTGAGCTGTCAACAAACTGGTAATGTAGGTAGTTATGAAAAATACCTTATTCGTGAGATAGTACAGATCTTCGTCACTTGTTATTCGGCCAAGATTCACTCGGGCATCCCGGAATTGTCGCAATTCATTGTGAATAAGTGTAAACAACTAAAAGATACATGATGGGATAAATTCACAACTTATGAATGACCGCAAAACTGTCGATGACAGGAGAGACGGTGTGTGTAAAAAGATGACGGTAATCATTTCGATTTAAAATAACTTATATGATATCATAAACAAGGTCACGACTAATTTAGGGAAAGTAAAAACATCAAACAGATGTAGATTAAGGTCATAGACACAAAACGCAGCTAACGGAATGCCATGGTTCTGAGGCTCACGTGCAAACTTAATTCATAAAAAAAATTGTATGGAAGGCGCGTGGAAGTGAAAAAAACAAAATATAGAAGGGGACGTGTTATATTAGAGATAAACAGCCTTCTCACAACGGGATTGAACAAGTGGCAGCATGAAAAGGAAAGCCAAAGAAGCAACGGACCGTGGCATTAAGTTCTGGAAAGCTGATACAAGCTGATCGTGCAACGCTTTGGCAGCACAGTCCCAGAGAAAGGTCAGCCGTAATTGCAAATGATAACAGGACAGGAGAAGTCGAAATGAGGCAAAGACGTTAGGATTAAAAGGGATTCGTTGAAGAATACAAAATGTTACTCATTATTAAGTAAAAGGATTCAAGAATCCAAGTTCTGTGAGATAAAAGAGTATTTCTTTCAACTGCGAGAGATTTACTGACTTTAAAGATCAAGTTACTGCAACTAAGTCCACCTCAAAATTAACAACTAGCACTGCGAGTGAAAAAGTGATTAGTATCTTCGCTGAACACCACTTGCTTACTGTCAGGCACAGCGTGGACTATTCCACATGCTGAAGTTCTAAACAAATTGCACTCAGTCTGTCTGAGATGTTAAGAGTCCAAGTTAATCAAAATGCACGCATGACACACAAAATCGACTCGGTGAAAAGGAAGCGAAATTCCCAAGTCTTCTAAAAAAAATATCGAAGAAGCCTTTCATTCAAATTAGGTGATTTTAAATACCTCGATGGCAAAGTTCTGCTCCTGAGCACCTTGCGGTGTGTCCGGACGAGCTCCCATCTCATGAATCAACTCCATACACTGTCGTTCCAAAATGCGACTCCGGTATTGCGCATACATCTACAAAACCAAAAGAACAGTGAAAAGCGCAAGTCAAGTCTGTCTACAACTAAAACATGCAAACTGCTAACACATTACGGATTTGAAACAAGAACTGCACTAATGTTGGGCTCCTTTCTCGAGTCTAATGAGCGCGAAAGGAAAACTATTAATTTATGTTTATTTCACAAATTGATGTGGTCATTGTGCAATCTAAAGTAAAGACCCATAAAGCAAGGGATTTCATAATTGACATATTGCATTGACTTCACCAACTGAGAATTTATCAGTAGGTCTGAGTTCCATTTATTGTCACTAATGTTTCTGCTCCCCCACTGGCCGAGCACGCCATGAATTGTTAAAGGCCTTGTGTCATTTTCTCGTTTAATGCTTGCATGTTACTGGCGGAGACTATATTTACCCATAAACCCATAATATAGAGCGTTACGAGTTGTCCCGATCCCTTTTCGCCTAGCTGACCTCGACGCGAACACTGGGAAGGGAACCGCAAAGTTACAAATTTTCAAGAATCGCTACAATAAACGATAAGACTGTGTTTTAACAAAAAAAGTTCTTGTAGGGATTCTATTAGGAATTGAATTTCAGTACGCCATGGGTCCCCGAACCCAAGTGCCTGTCACATAGATCATTCAAGTTTACCTGCATCCCAAGATAAAAGATCCGAGAAGGATCCAAAAGTAGATCCAAACGTAAACAAAGGAGCATAACAAGGTAATTGTACATTTTAACTTACAGTATGTGAAAATTAGAATACCCGGTGCATACTGTACTTGATTTTTATTATAGTAAACAGCAAACCCGATAATGCGTGTACTGCATTAGGGGCAAATACCAAGACACACAAGACAGACCAGGTTCAAACGGTGCAAAGTATAATAAATACACAAGACCGAACCAATCGTGAGCAACCAGCAGCTGGAGGTGAATCGTCCTGAAGCCAACAGTTAGAAATGATCTACCGTGTTAAATTTTGCACAGGGTTTCAAAATAATTTGAGAAATTTAATGATTGGTTGTAGTGGCTTCGGTCAAAGCTTTTCGAATCCGACAATCGGTATTTTTAGGGCAAATTTACTTGCTGGCACTAACGTAAAAGGCATGAAAAATTGCGATGACGCACCGCTTCGATTTCCTCGTGGGTGACAGCAAAGCGGTGAGCACAATTCCAGTTGTATGGAGCCTCGGGGTCGTCGTCGGGTCGGTCAGGGATGAGATTGTCTTCTGGATCTGCATCCCACGGATACACAGGTGGATCCCACCGTGTTTGGCGGGTCTTGGTGTGGTAATAGTAGTAAGCGTAGCCCCCATCGCTGCCATCACTCGCTGTGTTAGGGGCGCGCTGCCAACCAGGGGGAATGGGGGACGTTCCGTCCTCAGACAGATGCAAGTGTAATGGCGGCAATGTAATCCGCTTCACGGGCATCAACTTGTTTCGCTGTGCTTGCATGCGTTGATTGAGGGCCTGCAAGAAGGACATCAACGATAAGCCATTAGCTTTGGAGTTGTCCTAGGGCTGTGGCAACAAAAAACGCCGATTTACAGGGAGTTTATGGTTTTAAAATGATTGGCGGAGACAATTCGCCTTTTTGTACAGCTCATATTTTAAAATGTATTTGGTGCGAAGGAACACAAAGTGCCA